TATGCTAATCCTACAAGAGCAGAATCTCGAAATGTTAAAATATTTGTTGATGATAGTTAAACAAAAGTAAAAAGAAGTTAGAAAAAGCGCTAAACGAGAGAAATTTTTGTTCATAACTTTTTTTTTGGTGAGCACTTTTGTCACAAATAGAATTTTGTTCCAAAAACTGGAAGTAAGTCCCTAAACTTCCCCCCCCCCTCGACAAATTTGTAACGAAAACACTGTGTTTGTTGATGAAATTTTAGGGGGAAGCACCTTGTTTGCCAAATATTCTCTGAAAGCCTACTTTTACGAAGATTTTCGACTTTTTTGCATTATGGAACATTGTATTGGGAGAAAGGAAGCAACGAATATCAAAAAAGGCTTCTATTTCTCACGAGCTTCAATCAAAAAGAATTCAAAAAGAGAACTTCAAGCAAACTTTCGAAAACTTTTCGATGCGGAGGTAAACGTTATTTACCAAGGGTTGTAACAGATTTTATTATGTGATGAAATATAACAATAAAAACTTTGGAACCTGCGAAAATTACGTTACTTAAGCTAAACCTTTTGCCTTTGAATCATCAGCAACGAATATCAAAAACGCTATTAGATGTCTCCTGCCTGTTTTTAATCGATTTGTTTCGATTTCTGCTAAATCTATTAAATAAATGTGGCCCAAGTTTATATCTCAGTATGTCTACTGCATGCGGTACTATCACCTGTAACACCTGTGTTAGTCCACCAATGAGTCCAACGATTGTTGTAATAATATACACTGTATTGAACCTTTCCGTAATTGTATACGTACAATATGTTGGATTACATTGTTCGTAATAAACCTCAAACAATATCGATGTGTGCCATTGTTCAACCATTAGATTACCGATAATTTGTTGAATAGAGGTTGTAGGTTGATATTGACTGTTGGAAGTGTTTGAAAGTATTACCGGTGTTATCGTGACTATAGATTCAATATACGATTGTAACGTTTCTACACATTCCTGATTGTAGAAACATTGAAGATTTGATTCTAATAATGATTCAAGGATAAAACATCCTTGATACATACCTGGCACATACCATTGAACATCGCCATCTATATTGTATATTATTGACTGAGTAATGCACGTTGATTTAACCGAACATGAACAAATCGTCGAGTCATTATCTCTTGTATATTTATACGGATAAATAACTAACTCAGAATCGCTTATATTTGGAATGAAATTCGTTCGTAAGCCAGACATGAGACCATTACCTTGTGTAGTATCGCGTACCAGTTTCATAGACGTTGAAAAACTGTTCTTTGTTGCCAATATAAACAGATCGATGAATGACTGAGCTTGTAGTTGAAATGTTTTGTTTGATACTACAGTTGGGGAGATAAACGACGTCGAATTAAACACAACGAGATTATTTGAAATTGTCTCATTCGTTAATGCACATAAGGCTACTAGTGTTTGAAAAGAATAGGCGCCAGTATTACGAAAATCTGGATGATCGAAAACTGTTGTTTGCCTTAAGTTCGTTAAATAGTCAAGCCATAACTGTGACGTGAAATTACTTGTACACACTTGATGATACGTTGAATGAATACTAATGAATTTTTGATAGGGCATCGAGATTGTTGTACAGTAACATGTTAATGTTGCTGAATAGTCCATATAGAGAGCCGTGTATTGAGCTATCGCTGGGGAATTAACTGTGATTGTGGTTGTAATATTCATCAAGGATGTATAAAGAACAAGAACGACTAACGATACAATTAGCAGGATAACAAAGAGTCGTGTACCGATCAACTCATCTTTTAATTTATGTTCGTCGATTATTGGTGGATTTTGTTTGAAAATATTGAATGTACAAATTGCATGTTTAACGCGTTTGAGGACTGCTCTAACAGCTCGACATTGGACGGTGTTATGAGATGGCTGTTCAAGCCACATGTGTTAGCTGATTAACAATGCAGAGAAGCACGAACAGATACACTCAAGTAATTCTCATTATGTGATAACAGTATTCGCACAATTTCTAAAAACTATGTATTAAAAAGATTCTTATGTTTAGCTCATCTGCTTTTTAGGAGGGGAAGTCTACCAAACATATAAATTATCGTGATATTCTAAGAAACCGTATCCAATTAGGTTTTAAAAGGCGTATGTCATAAGAAAAAGTCTTCTTTTGTATTTCATATACACAAATATGTGTGTCTCAAGCAAATTCGGATAGGGCACGTATTGGTTCAGTCAATTATCATGCGCACATTAAACAGCGCAAAATAACTGGTATTTCGAAGACCAAGAAAATGCAGCTAGAGTATGTGATTCACTAAATATTTACATTAAAATATCAAAAACTGGTTAAGAAAACTCCTTTTAGCATTCTCACAGAAACACTTTCAACGACTGAGTATATTCAGTAGAGTGACGAATGTGTTCTTGTGTTAAAGTCAATCAAAACTAGAAAAAACATTTCATGACATTTTAACACTCACATATCAATTTCTTTTATTTATAACTCTAAATGACAAGGTAAAACTATTTTGTTCTCTGTAATTGCTTATGATTATTATAATTATGATTAAAGTTATACATGACTGAGTAACAATATTTGCTATTGTTCTCCGCAAGGGTGAAAAACTTATCGACGTATGGCTTCAATGTACCTGTTCTGGTCAAAGTTTTATCTATGCCAGTCTAGATTTATCAACGTATGCCAAATCCATATCATTCAGCTTGTGTATTACGCAAAACTAGCACATAAACCTTTTTTAACAGCAGTTAATACACAATCCTGTATAGAAAACTTTTTCCTACTAAGACAGGAAAAAACTGTTTTCCGAAAACCTCACCAGTAACAGACCTTTCCTTAAAAGCTATTTACGTATGCCGTAGAATATATGCTTCAACAATGAACAAACGAAGACGTATTGCAGGTAATAGGATCTATGCCTGGTACCTTTCAAATTCAGCTCGATTTGAGTTGAATTCAAAAAGCAACAACTAGACTTTCAGAAAGAAAAGGATCTTTCTGTATAGCTGTAAACGATTTTATATACAGATTTCGGCGGCAAATTCTGTTTAAAAAAGATTTGTATACAGGATTCTTCATATTACTGCAAGAGATAGAGCGATGGTCACAAATACACATCTGCTGAACAAAACGTAGCATAATCTTGTCTCCTAAGTAATACAACCTATAACTAACTATACAGCTGCGAGACATCGACAAGACAAACAACAGCAA